TCCTACTAAGCACAACCCACGCTTTACCTCTTTGAACGGGTTTGATAAAAAAAATATTTCTTTCAAAGATGACTTCTAAATTTATTCATCTTTCCATACGGACCGTTAGATTTGATAAAGAGTCACAAATTATGGAGATATTGTTTAAAATCTAACACGGCTTCTTGATTCTAAATTCGTTCTACGACTTTCAATTCCATCCTAATGCATTGAAACGCCATTAGATTTTCAATTCCTGGGAGCGCTTCTTTTGTTTTGAGAACAATGAGCGTAAATATTCATACAATGCGCTCTAATAGGATTTATGTTGTAGCTAATGAACTAACGCATTGGAACAAACTTATTATTGATTTGTGTACGGTGAAATCATTGATCTTGTCTGATCGATAGAACGGAAATGGGCGATTACGACGTACCCTTCTATCGTTCTATATGCTCTAGGAAGACGAAAACAAAATTTCCGGACTGGGAAGCGAATGCAGCCATCTGCTGCGCCTTTACCGTGAGCTAAGGGAAGCCCCAACTTACACTCACCTGGGTATTTCAATTGAACGAGTAAGTCACGTGATATTATCTTAGACTTATGCTAGCTAATGGTTTCACTGACGTGTACTACCCTAAATCGTGGTGCAGCTGTTTGGAATCCTTTTTATCATAATGAGCGAATGAGCGAATCGAGTCAGTTCATCGCAGGTTCATTTGCTATTCACTTCAGCGATTACCGTGGCGTAACCCATTTAGACTGCGCCCCTATGATCAACGTTGCTCATTAATATACCTAGAACCTCTCAAGACACGTCGCGACACTCTACGAGCTTTGCTGCTGACGTTCTGCAGAGTCAAGTTGATTATTCAGCTGTATGGAACAAATGGACAAATGTGCAGCCTAGGTCCTTCCGAAACAATCAGATGCTTCGCTTTCCACTGACTGGGACTAACGACGGCATGCATAGCGCTATCATCGGTTTTCAAAGATTATTCAACGCGTTGCATCTGTGTTTGACTTTCACTTGTCACGTGAGGTACGGCGACGAAAATTTACTCCTTTATTTTCTTTGAGTACGAATCGTTACAAGTAGTTTTTAGGTTTTAGTATATTTGTTTCTATTTTCTGTATGACAGTCAGTAGTGTTAACTAACCATACGTGAAGTTTACGATTTTCAGAGTTAAGAGGAAACGTTATACTAATATCAACATGAAGCTTTTGTGCGATAATTTATTAACTTGAGAAAGTTCTGAAGAGGATAGATTCATAGTTTTGCCAGAGTACGGCGCAATAATCACAAATTAACGGATGAGGGAATTTGAGCTATTTCCTCAAATCTACAGGATATAGCTCAAATACCTCAATGCATCAAAGTAAGAGGTAAGGAAAAGGAATGCGTTTTTCAGTCAATTTCATGGTGAAACAAAAAAGTTATACCCATAAAAACATTGCTCTTCGTATGACTGTTCGTAAAAATAAAAACCACACAAAGCGCGTTAGGCCCTCCCCAGAAGTAAGACAGGTGGTGTTCATTTGAAACGCTAATAACTTTTCAGGGCTAACTCCGATTAACATCTGGTCTTGAACTAAGATGTTTCCTATACTTCAAAGATGCTACATTTTGTACACGAAGAAAATCGATCAACTACAACGCCACCTAGAGACGGGAATGTTAAAGTGACTCGTTCCCCCATACATTTTGTCGATTTTCCCCATATAAACTTCCAGCCCTTTGAGCGAAGGGATCCCGTGAACCAAATTACTTCGATTTTGGCAGTGTGTTTCTGACCCCTTAAACCAGCGTTGCCAGATATATCGATTAATCGGTATTTATATCGATTTCCAAACTAGATACCGATATACAGATAAGGCTCATCAGAATACCGATTTTTAAGATTTTATATCGATTTATACCGATTTTTTTTAATAATCAAAATTATTATTGCTTGTCCACACTCGAATTTCGGAGAACATTTTTGTGAGTCACCTCATATTTTTTAAGCCTTCAAAATTTAAAAAATAATTATCTTTAAAAATGCCTTATGCTTGATATTATTTCGTCTAATGGCTGCATTTCCTCCTTTTGATTGACTACCCATCAATTGAGGAAAAGTCGATGGCCCTTTCCGGTTATTCCGATGGAATCGAGCAAAATGTTTTAAACATTGTTTAACTTTCGGATCTTATTCATTTTTTAACTTTGTGAAGCTTCATCCAACTTTCCCTGGAATTTTCTTCCACCATACCTTGGAAGTAAATCTTCTCTCGCCAGTTTTTTCAACTGTCCCGGAACTTCAAGGATGCTATCAGATTTTTATTGCGGATCCACACTAGCTGCAGGAACATTTAAGAAGTTCTGAAGCTTCAAAAAAGTTCAGACTTTTGTGTAAGTTTCGATAAATTAAACACAGTTTCATAAACTTAAGAATTCGAAAACTCAGAAATTTCAGAAAAGTCCAGTGAGCTCCATTGAACTTAAGGAACCATCATAAATATTTTGGAAACTTCAAAAGTTCAAAGAATTTCAGGAAAAGTTTATGGTTTTCAGGAACTTTAGTGAAGCTCAGAGAAAATCAGGACATATCAATGAATTTCAATGAAATTGCTGAAATTATACTGGAGTTCCAAGAAACTCAGGCAATTTCCGAAAACTTCAGCAATGTCCTGAGGGGCTCATGCAAATTTAGGAAACGTAAGGGAAGTTACATGAACATTAGAACATTGAGAGAACATTTTATCGGAAGTCCTATGCTTTTTTAAGGCAGTGTCGATAACTTTTAAAAATAAAGAAGATCAGAGAACTTCAATGCTGATGTCACAATAAATTCAAAAAAAAAAATGTGAGAGCACTAAAGAGATTTTGTAATCTTCAAAAAAAATCCAGAGACCTTCAAAAATGATTAGAGATATTCCGCTATTCTCATTATAATCAGGGAAATTCCGAGCGCTTCGAGGTTGACCAGAGAACTCCAAAACATCCCCTAATTTCAGGAAAATTACAAGAACTTTCAAGGAATTTCGAGGAATTATGGAATATTCCTAAGTGCATTTCAGGAATATTCCGAAAAATTCAGGGAAATTGCGAAGCCTTCAGGGATGTTTTATGAATATCAGGAAAATTTTCTGGATCATTGGAACATCCCCCAGGAATCTCTTGCTTCTGGAATAATGTCCATGTTTCTTCCATGTCCACTTTCTTCAGATGTTTCTTCCAATCTACGTTAGGAAGTTTCTACCAGCGACTCCTGGAAGTTTCTTTCGTCTTCTCCAGGAAGTTCAATTAATTCTCCCAGATTTTTTTTTCGTTTTCTTCTGGAAGTTTGACCATAAGCCAGTGGGTTTTTTTTTTGTTCGACTTCTTTTGAATGTTTTTCCCGAGCTTCTTCTGGCTTTTCCTGGAAATGGCTACTTCTAAAAATTTACTTCGGATTTCCGAAACTTTTCTGACTTCCTTTGGATGTTACATCCGATTTTTTTCCCGATAGTTTATTTAAATTTTCGCCACAAGTTTCTCAATTCGTGTCTTAAAAGTTTCCTGGATGTTTTTCAAGCTTCTCTCGAACTTCATCCAAGAGAGCTTCTTTCGTCTTTCTCTGGATGTTTTTTTTTTCAGCTCCATTCAGAAGCCAATTGAAACATTCTCCGGAGTTTTCTTCCGGAATTTTCCGATCATAGGTCAAAAGCTAAAATTTTGCTTTGATTAACGGCTTTCTCAGTCTTAAACACTGCAACGGCTAGGATGTAATCTGCCCGACATTTGACCATGGATTGTAGCTTTTTTCAAAGGAAAATGTTGTTTGTCGTTATTGTCAATAGGTTAGTCGTTGTTGGGGCTGATTTTCCATATTTTAATGATATTTAATTGAAAAAACTACTTGGCAACAATTTCGATCACCATTTGAGGACAACGATAATTTAAAAAATTAAATTAAAAAATTAAAGAGTGTTTTAAGACTGAGTCCTCAAGTCCCAGTCGTCACCATTGTTAAAATGTTTGCTTCCAAGAACGGCAAACATATAAGATTAATTAAATAGTAAATACCGATACATACCGATTTTTTAAGTCCTTCGATACCGATAAGCTTTAAAACAATCTGGCAACGCTGTTCTAAACTACCATTCCAGGGGTTAGCGTTTCAAATTACAGGCTTTCACTTTTATTTTTTCATATAAAGATGAAACACTCTAATGTTGTTATATCCGTGTCTCCTGTGCCTCGTTACCAAAGCAATCAAGCTTGTCGTTCATCTCACCACAGGGAAGCATTCCTGGAATGCTTCACTGATCATCGAAGACGGCCAACGTTGACAATTTACGACAACTCCAATAATATCCAATTGTACAGCGGAAAGCACGGTAGCGTTCAAAGTCTCATGGAAGAGGATTGCATTAAGAATCCGGGAATGCATTCGTGGAGGATTCGTTATTCGACTAATAAATAAATTTAAAACTAGTACAGAGTAAGTGCCTTATCACTAATCCAAGAGAACAATTTTTTCGCTGTGACTAGCAGCGCTGGTGGTGTAGTGGTAAGCGTGATTGTCTCTCACCCCAAAAGGTACTCAGTATGGAAAACAAGATCGATGGAAACAAATCAAAGGAAAAAAATAGCAGAAAAACATCATCATTACCCTCAGCAGATTGTTTCAACAATATCCAAAGCCGAAACCATATCTCCGAGAAAAACCTCTAGCTCTTTTCGGGCTCTACCAGTCATCCGGGAAAGCCACTCAGACCACATTAGTCCCACAACCACCTCGACACGATTTGGCCCCTTCCGGCTGATGGGTTTCGTTAATGAATTTTCATTTCCACCTCAAATGGGATTATAAACTATGAGGCCCAGGATGGCTGAGCGGGCTGATAAAGAACGGAGGTCGAGATGAGTCACTCGGGCGGCATAATGTCATTAATTGGATGGTTGATTGATGCCACGGCACCGCATTATGATTAAATGTTTGTATGTGTGTGTGTGTTTTCTGGAAAAAGCTTTTCAGTTTAAACTCATTGGGGCATTATAAGCAATAACAGTTTTAATAAACGATGTCACTAATGAGAATTTAATATGGTAACTATTAGCGGATGTTCGTTCACTCGTGATTGAATTTCCCGGTTTTAAGTTCGCATGATAATGGAAAGGCTTTCAGCCATCCATTAGGTGCCTAAGAGCATGAAGCAATGTGTGTTTCGGAACCGATGGATGCTTGCTCGGCGGTCGGATCATCTGAAATTAGCAATAAAATGTCAACTTTGCAGTGTCGATTACCCACAGGATTGGAATACTTACATTTGCACCTGTACGAATGCTTGATCCTCTTCTTGATAAAGTACATGTATACTACAGTTGCGGATGCGATGGTTAAGATACCTCCGACTATGCAAGCTACTATCGTCCAGTTGGTTTCGGAGGTGGTTTCCGATATTTTATCAGCTTCCTCGCACTGACAAACTTCCGGAGCGAGACAACACCCTTCGCTACAGTTGGTACAAATGGGTTCGCAATTTAACGTCACATTCGACATCACAAATCCATCGAAACACTCGCATTCATCGGGAGAAAAGCATCTCCCATTTCTGCAACCCTCGCATACCGGTGAGCAGAAGTAAGGACTCTCGAGGTTACCGTACCCTTCTGCGCATTGACACAGTAGTCCTATGCAAACTCCTTGATCGATGGTACAATTGTGTTCGCACATCGGCACACACCATGGATCTTCGATCACTGCATAGCCCGGATGGCATTGGCAAGTGTTTACGGCCACGCAAATTCCTTCACCGCAATCGTGTTCACACACGGGACCACATGTTACATTATCTCTCAACTCGTGTCCATCCGGGCATTGTATCTCTCCGGGTGCAACGCATACACCATTCGGTGGTAGATCCTCACACACTGGAATACATTGGAGGAGCCCATCCTGTTCCAATAGCTGATATCCCTCATTGCATGAGCAATCGTTTGGACCAATGCAGTTTCCATGGGTGCAATTTACAGCGATTGGATCACAGTATGGTTCACAAATAAAATCAGAAACTTTGATAAATCCCTTTTCGCAACTACATACGTTAGGCTTGTAGCACAATCCATTGGAGCAAGGATGATCACAGCGTGGCTCACAAAACGTCGCATTGGTCCGAATGTACCCCAAAAAACATTCACAGTCATTCGTATCGGCACAGTGTCCGTTGACACACGGTGGATCGCACTGTGGAGTACACCGTAGAATGTGGTCATCGTCTTCAGTCAGTTCAAATCCATCCGGACAATCGCAGGTATCGACGTCTGTGCATACGCCTAGTAAGCAGTCTACCACTTCCGGATTGCAGTAAAAAGAGCAGGTTTCTGGAGTGTCTACAGTTTTACGATAACCATACCCACATTCACATGAATTCGGGGCTACGCAGTGACCATTCTTACACGGCGGATCGCAAATCGGTCCACATTCGTGTGAGCTTCCTGCTATCTGTTGGTATCCAGGGTTACATTTACAACTGCCATCAGCTGAACAAGTAGCATTAATACATACAGGATTGCACTTCAATTCGCAAGCGAGTTTGTAATCATCCCGCTGCTGCAGCATGAACCCCTCGTTACAGTGCAGAACATTTGGTGCTATGCAGCTTCCGTTTTGTACGTTGATATATCGTGAGTCACAGACCGGCTCACAGTGACTGTTGTTAACTCGCTGGTAGCCATTGAGACAACTGCACTGATTCACACCCACACAGGCGCCATTTTCACAAGGCTGATCACACAATGGAGTACAGATGTGTGATTCATTCGATTTCCGGTAGCCATGCCAGCAGATACACTCGTTCGGATTACTGCAGTTCGCATTTACGCAACCCGGATCACACTCCGGAACACATTGGTCTCTGTCGATCTTGAAACCTGGATTGCAAACACACTTATTCGGTGCCGTACACAATCCGTTGGAACAATCTACCCAACTGGGATCGCACATCGGAGTGCATGTAAATTCATCATATTTCGTCAGTTCATACCCGAAAAAACACTCGCACCGATTTCGTCCGGCGCAGATCCCATTTTGGCACGGACGATCACATTTAGCCGTACACACTGTATTGTTCCTGATTCCAAGCTCAAGCAACTTTTCATTGAAGAAATATCCATCGCGACAAATGCACTGATTCTGCTCGTTGCATATCCCATTCACGCAGTCGTCCCTGCACTTGGGAACACACAGCCCAGCATTGTTCGCAACGAATCCTGCCATGCAGATACATTGATTCGGCGCAACGCAATTCCCATTGTTGCAATTTTTACACTGAGCCACACACCGTCCATTGACCATGAGGTATCCGTCATTGCAGGTGCAAGTATCCGGCCCCGTACATTGTCCATTTTCGCAGCCATCCTTACATACGGGAATGCAATCGCTGTCCACCTTATGATAGCCATCGCAGCACACCTGCTTCCTGGTCACCTCGTAGTCGAGCTGAAAGATTTTTTTTTAATGATAGAGAGCTTAGTAACAGGAGCCACACATAGAGACAAAGGTTGAGGTTACATAGCAGTAATTCTGTGTGCAGGTGGTTGTGATTGTCTTTCGTTGGCTGTTCCAATTGCAACTGTACGTGCATTGAACGAACTTGTTTTCACTCGTGGTGTAATATTTTGACACTGGATTTCTGAATTGTAAAACACAGTTAGGAAAACTTGCTAGGAATATACAACTGTAGTATCGTACTTAACATCCTCCCAGCAAAGCTGGCATAATGCCGCTTGCAGAAACGATAGCGATAGCAATATCGAGCGAACAGAACTTAGCAGCTTCATGTTGAGCACTCTACTGTACGATTAGGACTGAATCTTGGACGACAGATGTGCGATTTCTCTCTCGGTGTGTGATAAACTGTACATGTGATATGATGGTGGTGATTTTCACTGGACAAGCCAGACTTGAAACGACTTAAACGGAATGGATTGGGTCGATTCAACTTGTAAGCATCACCATGAGATCTTTAATCGAAAATAACTCCATTTATACAAGTTATATTTTAATTTATATCAAACTATGAAAAATATGACGCATGCTGTCTCCACATACATGTTTATGAATAAATTTATATTGATAAAACAACAAACATTCTACTATAGAAATGGTTTCGCGATAGCGATGTACCAAAAATGTAAATTTATGCGTAACACGATCAGAGGACCCTTGATGAATCATGTTTTAAAATAAGCTTGGTTAGATAAAGACTGAGAGACTGTTTCTTTGCTCTCTTTACTGTGTACTTTGTGTACAATGTGGCCCTTGAATCCAATTTAGCAACTTTTCTTCTCAAATCATTGCCACAGTTCAATACGCATTCTTCAAAAGAAATGAAATATCTTGTTTTCGATTAATATTATGCAGCTTCCTTTATCCTACTGTTGCCTTAAAACAATGGACACGAAAGTATTAATGCTAGCCCAACAGGATAATCTGGTACAACTTGCCAGGAGCCATTGTTCGGTTTGACATTTTTAATTTTTTTGATTCGACAAAATTATCTTTAAGTAACAACATTTTGAAATGAAACTGCAAGTAGAACCCTTTTTCTATACCCATCAGTTGGTTGCCTGAAAAAAAAAAAAAACGATCAAAAGCTTAAGGTTAGCCCACATTATGATTTGTCGCTGTGGTAAGTTTACTTTTAATTTTAGTATAAATATATGGAAAAATATGAAGACCCATACTGCATTCATAAAATGGTAGAAATATAAACAAAACAACTAAGGCGATCAGGAAACATGTAAATGAACACCGAACGGATAACAGTCTATCATCCACAATTTCTCGAAACGGAAAAGTGGCTGGTTCAATTTCTGAAAAGTTCGCCGATACTTTTTGCACTGACGTCCTACTACCTCAACAAATTGAAGCCGCCTCCAGTAGCGTGCCAATTTCCGATCGATGCGTTAATGCAACTCAGTCGATGTTAATGCAATTTCTGTCGAAGACATTCTTGCCACTGCGAATAAGCTGAAATCATAGAAAATAACTGGGCCGGATGGCATCCTATTCGTGTTTCTCAAACGTTGTATATCATCACTAACCAACATATATTTCGATTATCGTTGAAGAAATCTAAATTGCCTTCGTTGTGGAAAGACGCGTATATATTTCCTGTCCACAAAAAAGGTACTGAACAACTGAGATTCTTCAAAAAAGGCAACAATCGTGTTTGCAAACATTCCTTTTTATAAATAGTTTGGATGGCAATGCCAGTTGTCACGAAAATTTAGCTTTTCAGTCCACAGGTGCAAATCGCCTGCCAAAGCAAGTATTTTTTTGGGAGCTTTGACAACCTTTTCTGCTTAAACATATATTGAACCATTCCTTTTCCAGTATCCGTGTAAACTCTTAACCTAGGACCTGCTTGAGGTCCGCCTTGACGAATATTTCATCGTTCATTATAACGCAATCAATCTGCGTGGGAATAATTTGGATTTCGCTTATGCGCGAGCAAAATTTTCATACGCTGTTCCACTTGCTTCGACGCCATTTTTACAATTGAATGGAAAATGGCAAAAACAAAATACAGACAACATTCCGTACCAGAGATGCCAGATCTACGAAAATCTCCGTAGATCTACGGATTTTACAAATTTTTGCAGAAATACGGATCCGTTGGCAAAATCTATGGAATTCGGTACAGTTTCTACGGATTTTTTTCTTCAGTGTACGTCTCCCTTCAGAATCGGATTTTACAATCTAGAGTATCATCTGATTCTGAAAGGAAAGAAGCATAAAGTAAAATAAACCGCTGCAACTTGTCAACCGTATTCTTGCTCACTTATCCGCTTTTGGATAGAATAATTTGGCGTTGACGACGACTCTGTAGCTCTTCCCTCCTATGAAATATCCCGTAAGCAAACGTCAAACTGTGCGTGAAATCACTCTTCTCTTCACTCCGCCGAAAGTTCCCATAATATACTGTCAATCTTTGCTTGAAGAGAAATGTTTTCGACGGTACCGTGTGAAGGCGAATAAAAGTCGTGTCGAGACCAGTCTTGTAAGCGGTCACCGCAGTCGACACATTCTCTGTGATAATCGACTGCCTTTGCTTTCGACACTTGCAAAACAAGCTTTCAAATTACAGTACAAAACTAAAATGTCATACGACAGGCTCTGTCATACGACATTGTCGCCGAAGGCCGTCACGGATGTATGTATTTTAGTTTTTCTCATAATAAGAGCTGCTAATGTTGTGCTTGTGTGCATTCTGAAAATAGCAAGCAACGATGTCCTAGCTATTATTGTCAGATCAGAAATGGTTGAATTTACACCAAATTGAGGAATTAGAACGAAATCACATATGTCATATGATAGTTATTTGATAATTTTCTTTTTGCTCGAATGTTGTTCAACCGTTTGCGTTTTGTAAGAGAGACGACGCTCTCTTCCTTGTCAGCTCGATGACGATCAGGCCTTCAACGTGTTCATCAAAAAGCACGTAATCCATAAGTCGTCGTACTTGTCCGGTTAAAGCGTGGCTTTCTTATTAGATTACGAAAACCACTGTACCACCGCTACGGGATCACAATTGATCAGATCGCCAAAGATGGTCTTGAAACCCCTGCAGTGGATCCTCAAATTGAGCTGGAAACCATTGCCGTGGATAATGAGACAAAATTGCTGCTTGGGCAACAGGAAACGCTCCTTTGGAATGAGGACAAATGCCTGGAGATCGCTCCCGCGCAAAACAGGGTTCTTCTGTCATTAATATATGACGAGCACGAACTACGATGTTTCTCACACTCAGTGCAAATGAGATGAAGTGGCCCCATTTGTTGAATCTCCTACATCGATTGTCAGTAGGACACAATGGCAATGACTTAACAGATCCAATCTAGGAATTGACTGCACTACAAAGAGCAACTCTGGTCAATGATGATCCAGTCACGTGCTGTGTGTACTTCATCAAGCTGGTTGACACGATTGAATTTCAGCACCGTTAAAGTCCTCACGCGCACATCTTGCTATGGCTTAACAAGGATCCCCGGGAAGCAATCAGTGAAAGTATGCCAAAAACTACAGGTGCAACAGTATCATGGTATTCATGCCTGTACTACCATTGGCCCTTTTGAGGGCCTCCAAGATTTTCGAAAAGAGTTAAATTTCTGAGAATGTCCCATCTAAAATTTGTATCAAAAGCTTCTTTTCAGGGCAATCATAGTCATACTAAAGAGTATAAACAGAGAGAACCCCGCTCAAATTCCTATTCCTACACAAAACACAAGTCCTGCTGCAGTTGACAAATAACATTTATTACATTAGACCACGTTGTCCGGCGTCACCATTGCGTACAACCCCAGAGGGCTGTCCCTAGTAGTTTTTCAAAAGTTCTTTCATCGATTTATCATTTAACGTAAAATAACACCTTGGAACTGTAAAAAAAAATATCACCTTCGACTAAAAAAAATCCGTAGAAATCCGTAGAACAAAATGAGGGGTATTCAAGTTTTTTTAAATAAACTATTCGCTGAATTTTAGTCGACCAATTTTTGACCATTCCACTCAAATATTTTTTTTTTTTTCAATTCTATGAAAAGTTAAGATAACAAATAGATACTGTACGTGTCACAGCAATTTAAGAGACAAATAACGGCCATTCTCTAGATTATATTCCTTCTTTAAATCATTAGCCGTTCTTTTGGAGTATTTTTTTTTTAAGTTCTTTGAAACTCTGACCGAAATTTTTAATTTCGATGCTGGTTTTTTGAATTTTTATCCACTTCGACTTTTTGTAAGTTTCGATCTTTTGTCCAATTGACCTTTTCTCCCTCTAAGTTCATTTTGACCTTTTGTCTATTCGACCTGTTGACCCTGTAAGATCGATTTGACCTTTTATCCATTCAACCTTTTGTCCCTTCGACATTTTGACCCTTCGACTTTTTGTCCATTGGACCTTTTGATCCTTCGACCTTTTGGCCTTTGACCTTGTGTCCTTCGGCTTTTTGTCCTTTGACCTTTTTCCTCATACAACATGCATTTGGGGAATCAAACTATGTTCGAAAAATAAGATAACATAAACATTACAAAATCAGTTTAAAACCTTCCGGCGACCACATTACAGAATCTGATCATGTCGCAAAACATAGCAAATTATGCATATTTTTCATGTAAAGCTGTAATAGAATCTTAAATTTCCCAGTTGGCTGTATAAAACAAAAAAAATCTAGAGACACCTAAAAGAATTTCGGGAATACTTAATCTAACGAATATTCTGACAATTTAAAGGCAAAATTTTGACAATTTCTGGGGAATGACTTTGAAGCATTCTGAAAAGAAATCCGGTCAAATATGATTCAGATGATATTAACAAAATAGCTCTGAAAAGAAATGATAGAACTGCTAGTAGCATTTTAAGGGGATTCTGAGGAAAATTCGAACGGAGCTTCAGAGAGATTTCTAACTGATATTTGAGGAATTGCTGGGTAAGATGC